CATGAGTCTTAAGGATTTTGATTTAATTTTTTTTTGTTTTGTTTATATATCTTTAAGGTATTTTAAACAAGCAATGGTCGATGTTATATACTGGTACGTAAGTAATAAAGATCAGCGGTTACAATGGCGCACAATCTCGACCTTTTCATCGTATTCTGCAATCCTTTAGTAAATGTCTGAAATTCTTAAACGACAAAGAAACATTATGGTTACAAGATGTAACTAAAGTATGTAAAGGCTTCCAAGGCTAATTCGATTGTGTTAAGAAAGAGTTGAACATACGATACGACGAATAAGATTTTTGTTTCGTGATTTTTTTCTTTCTTTAAATTAATCTGTACAATGTAACTTGTTTAATTTGAATATAAATTGTTTTTCTATTTAGACACACGTGTCGGGATGTTTATCGAAATTATAAACAGTAGTGATTAAAATGTTGCACTGTATACACATTTAAGGTGTTCATAAACAAATTTAAATTGCCATACTTAAGTGATAATGGGTATATTACACATTTCTTAGAATGGAGAACTAAACGGTCACTATGAGAATAGTTCCACGTATAGATGAAGACAAAATAATGAGATGAGACGACCTATTAAAAATTGCGTCTTGCATGCCTAAAGGAAAGTCCCTCTCCTGCCCTTTTGCTGTAATTACTAGAAGACATACGGCAAGAAAATTGTGTTTAAATTTAATTTGATGATGAATTAAATATAAATATGATGATTGACTATTCAAATTGTGTACCTACGCTTGCCAAGAACTGTCTATTTCTATTCCACAATTTTAACGTAAAGTTTATTCAGCCGTAAACACAAGGTGCTTTTAAGAATGAATATCGTCTATTTAGTCCAGTCGATGAAAATCACAAATCACTCATTGGCCGACGTAACTATGTTATAACAGGACGGATGAAAGTAATTGAGTATTTCTCATGAATTCCAATATAATACCATCGTGCGTCCTTTCGACGCTGTCTCAGCCTGCTTCACACGATTTGTTTATTTATATTGTAGTCGCCTTTCATCTAGTATACGTGAGTAAATAATAAATGTACGATATATCACGGCCCGGTGTGCTGACCTCACACCGGACACGGTCACATCAAAGTGTTCACTGTCAATGATTTATGTGTATTTGTTAGACTTTGGCCCAATTACGGCGATGAAAATTTTGTGCATTCCCATTATATGGAGTTTGCGGCTAAGCTCCCTTTGATGTCTAATTAGCTGTTTGTGATGAGCTGGATATACGCAGGTTCGCTATTGATTGATTTATTTGACCGTACACAAGTGGGAGAGGTTGAATGCGTCCAATAATGTCGTAATTAACGTCGACTAGCGCTGCAAGCATTTGCAACTTGTTTCTTGTTAGAAAGCATATATTTCTAGAATTCTAAACCACAATCATTTCATATTTCTGGGTATAGTGGAGTAATGCGCACGAGATGAGGCAAGCTTTAACTAAGAATGGACAGGGATGGACTAGTGATTCATAGACACAGGAAGAGAATTTCGATAACGACTGATATAGATAAATAGATCTGAAGGATGTAGAACCGGTGGATAAAGCTATGCCGGTGATGATTTCTACTTTTTATAATAAGGTGGGCAAACGAGCAAATAAGTACCTAAATTCGCTGTGATAGTAAAAAGAGACTACTGTCAATATTCGACAAAACAGATACGTTGTATCTCTAATCGACTTAGGATGTGACACAATATAAGAGGATAATAAGTATGTCTCTTCCTCTGTCAAGAAGTTTTAGTCAATTTTTATTTTTAGTTTGTTCAATTGGATTGTTCAATGTATTCCATTTAGAGAGTTCGTGAGACGATGTCAAAGGTTAAATAGCAATTAATAAACGTCGGCGTCAATGCGTCAAACAATGCGAATTGTTCCAATCACGACAGTAACTAAATATAACATTACAACTTCACTGCGCTTACACATGTAATAACAAATATTCTCATCCTTTTTATTCTGTTAGAGAAATCAGAGCACCAGAAGAGGTAGACCTAGTGACATGATCAAGAAGGGAGTGACGACTAAGATCACGAATGTTAGAGTTATTTGGAGGACGAAAACCCAGTACGCCGACCCTACGGGAGTAGAAAAGTAGGAGGTAGGATGATGGTAATGAAATCAGAGAGTACATTATATAATACACGTGTGACGGCAGTGAAAGCGCACGATGTTGATGTATTATTTTGTTGAGAGTATCATTATAATTGCGCCATCTACATACAATATGTACCAATATTTATGAACGTAGTCGAGATAGATACGAGACGATTGGGTGGTCCGACCAAAGGGCATATTCCATGAACTATCATTCTTTACTTCGTTTATAAAGTTCTAATTAGTAGTTACACAACAATTTCCATGTTACAAATGTCGTGGCATATGTTAGTTAAGCATTCTGAAGATACCAATGTAATATTTAGGTCGCAGAATGGAACTTTCAAAATGTTAGTTGCTAGCTGTCGCCAGCGACTTCCTCTGCGCTTACCCTACATCTGTGGCAAATTTCATCGAGATTCGTTCGGCAGTCTAGGCTACAAGCTCTTACAAATATCCATCCAAATTTGAAAAAAGGTGAGATTTCGGAAGAATGTTTGGATTCCTATCTCACTTTTTAGTAGCTTAGTAATAGTTTAAAAAAAATTCAAAAACATTTAACATCAACATATTGTAAATTTTAATTAACGATTCCAAAAATAAAATTTCCAAAACGTGAATTAATGACTTTATTTCAATTTGCTATCTGACTTCGTAAATATTAATTTTGGTTGATTTTGCATAAATATGTTGCTCTTTAAACATTTTTTAACAATATAGCACCCAATAAATATTATTTTTTTTTGAAACACTATTATGTATGGGTCTTTAAGTCTATTACAATGATAATTGTTATGGATTTTGTTTAAGAATTTGTCAAAATTTGGTATTTCTTGAATACCTATATAACATGTGTTTTAAATCTGTATATTAGCGTATACAGGATAACTTACGTTTGTTTAAAATTTGTTTTTATGCATTGTAATTAGATACGGAACCAAGTTATCCCTGCCTATTTCTTCTTATTTCAATAAAGTTTAACTAAGTTTTGGATGACTAGTCACTAAAATAATATACCCACGAAGACCACAAGCAGCATTCTGATTGAAACAATTCCTGCCGCCGAGTTCCGTCATCCGACGACACGACAGACCACCAGGTATTCCACACTACCTGAAAAGCTGGCAATTATTAAGCCAAGCCAAGCCACAGGTGACGTAGTTGTACGATGACAAGTATGTAGCTATGACAACTAAGTGTTTTTAACTTTTAAAGGTATGGGGAGTAAATAAAAGTAATTATTAATTTCTGTATTAAATTTTATTGCATCTATTCACACACCTTCCATGAGAACGGTTAAAAGACGTCTGAAGCCAACAAATACAATTATCAAAACAAGGCTTTACTAATTAAGTAACTTCGAATGTAAACCTACGGATTGTATCCATCAGCAAAGTATCGAGACGACACAAACAAGGACGTCTACGAGCGTATGTAACAATTAAAAATGAACATTTCGTCTATCAGTAATGATTATACCTAACACACGGTGCTACTTTGTTTTAAATCCTTTTAAATCGATTAAATAAAGAATTAGCTAAAACTCCGCTTCGACATCGATTGTTTTTGAGTTCATTCGTTGTTTACATTGTCAATACGGATTTTAACATCTTTGATCCATTATATAATTATTTATTTACATGAAATTGTTTCTCTAATACAGAAAACTTATTGCGTTTACTTCTCTTAAATATTTATCGTTAAATGTATTTTACTTACAACAGTGAAGTATGTATTTACAAAACTATAGACTCAATTTTGGACTTTCAGTCTCTACAATATGGGTAAAATATTTTACATTGATTTTAAAACATATGAAGTCCAATAACTATAAGTACATATAATTATTTAATACAAGTATACAAGGCCATTGAACCTCTTTGCAGAAATACGTAACTAAATAAGTTCTCTTCAAACTATGTGCAGACGGCCCGCTCTGATATTTGATCGAATTAAGATATTATTTTGTTAATATACAGACAGATGTGTTTTTTCTTATATTTTATATGTTATAATTTTTATATCTAAATAACATTATAAACTAATTTTGTCTATATCATGACGTGAGATCAGCAAGCGCAAATGAAACTTTATTAGCAATGCATATGTCACATATTCCCTTTCTCCTGTTAGAGCATGTTAATAAACGTACAATATTTGCCATTCTACAAAAAACGCCACATTCATTTATGATTAAAATATTTTTAAAATAAATTTTCATTTGAATCTTTTTAGAATTTGAGAGTAAATAAAAAAAATGAGTCACCATGAAATTAAAACATCGTTTTATTTTTATTAAAATTAAAATTAAAATATGGTTGATTTTAAAATCTTAATTCAAACAAAGTATTTAACTAAAAAGGACGATATTTTGCATTAAAATGTGTGTATTATTAAAATCTTATGAGTTTAAATTTTGAGTATTTGTTATAGGCAATTCGTCGTTGCAAGTGACCTAGTTCATGGAATATTTTTTCTTAATTACTTAGGTAATTATATGAACGTTATTGTTTTGTTTTTGCGTAAAATGCACATTATAATAGCTGCTAATTAGTTTACGTCACTTCGTATTATATAAATATGGAATTTTCATCCGTTAACAATCAAAGATCATGTTTTAAAAGTTCTGCTAGCGTGGACCAATAGTTATTTTGTTCTACATTAAATATAGATATTGAAAAAAAAAACGCAGAAAATTAAGATAAAAGTATAATAACTAAAAAAATCCGTGCCCAGGAAATACCGAGTTACTTTTTTTAAATAAATATTACGATATAACGAGATTATCATCAGGTAATTTTGTTATAATTTATCACATCCCATAGTATTTTAAATAGAAAAAAAAAACTATTGCTTTTTTCGTTATTTATTTATGGATAAAAACCTTTTAATTTTGACTTGGAAATTAATGAAACTATATCTTTTATTTAGTAAAACTTTACTTACTAAAACGTCACGTACGTTACGTACTAAAACTAACGTCATATTTTAAAGGAATACTAAATAAGGAACGTAATTAATGGTTTTTTGGTTTATTTAAAAAGAAGATCTCTAAGATACTTAATATATCTAATTATTCCATTACTGGAGTATATTTTTTTTAAATTCACTCATACATTTAATATACTACTTTTACTGTACTTAATATCTGTGATTACAAATGCGATAGCAATAATTAGGTATATTGTTTTGTAAATTTATTTCAAAGAAACTTGTAGAGACTGATGGCCGTCTGACTGTCTTGACAAATTCCCAGACAAATGTGTACATACAAAATTTCTTGCTAGTTCAAAATAATGCTTTACATTATAGGTAATGTTTAAATTAGACAATCATAGTCTTTTGACTAGAAATTAATCAAACAGATATTCAACTTCAAGATAGAATCTGGTGAGTGGCGGTATGTTACAATTTAAACATAAAATTATTTATTATTATTACTGACCTCGTATCAATAAATATTATAATTCGAAGGTTATATATTTTAATAGAACAATAGAAAAAAAATGGACGTAATTAGGCACTAAATATAAAGGAGAACATTTCGAAAATAATTTACACTCTACATAATTACCAAATTAATAGTCTAGAACGTTACCGTTCGCCTAAAGAAACATAACACATATTAATACCTATTTTTCACTTTCATTTAACCACCTCCAATAATAACTAGAGCAACATGTCGCAAGGTCCAACTTGTATTAGCACCTAATATTGTCGGTCGGTCGGCGCGGCACGGCGCGGCGCGGCGCCGACGTCGGTTGCGAGTTGTCAACCTCACGCTTGTGTCCACTATCACAAATCTAAGCTTCTCTACCGGTGCATAAATTAATTATTATCACGTATATATACGTATGTATACATATTTATATAATCATTATTTACAGAGGATGGCCCTCGCAATTATTGTCGGTGCGCCAGCGGCGGGCGAAGGGCTGGCGGTCAGGCGCGGGACGGGGGCGGCGGCTCGGCTAGCGAGGAAGTGGACGAGGAGGACGGGGAGGGAGCGGGGGGCGCGGGGGCCGGAGCCGCCATCGCCAGCGAGCGCGAGTACTCCAGCAGCGCCACGTCTGTAGGATGTGCGGGGGGATATAGACCTCGGTACAGTTCAGGCCTACTGTAAGGATGAGCGAGGCGAGCGGCGGCTGCCGCGGCGGATTGATAGAATACCGATGCCGACGGCGGTGGCGCTGGAGTCTCCCCATCCTTACTCGCCATATCAGCGAGAGACCAAATTCTCGGCTTAGCTGAAGCTGAAGTGCTGCCGGGTGGAGCGCGTGAAGGTAAATGTTGGTAAGCGGGATGAATAGGCCTTTCATATGGCTCTGGTGACTCTGGCCCGCTATCAGCACGTGATTCTGACCATTCTGATTCTGTTCGCTGTCCTAATAAGTCCAACCTCTGTTGCGGCCTCTCCCCGTCTTCACTAGAGCCGGTGCCTGAGTCTTTACCATCTAGAACAAAGTAAAATACAGATAAGTAAATACGTGATGAAAGAATTTAGACAATTAATTACTGTTCTAGTACGTACCTAGTGCATCTTTTCCGTCGTTACTCTTGTGGTCATCATCATCATTGTTGTTATCATCATCATCGACCCTGTTCCTGGGCTCCCAGGTCATTTTGTTTTCTTTCTTGAGGCGACGACGCGCGTTCGCGAACCACGTGGACACTTGTGTGAGCGTCATCTTTGTTATAATCGCCAGCATTATCTTCTCACCCTTGGTTGGGTACGGGTTCTTCTTGTGCTCATTAAGCCAGGCTTTCAACGTACTTGTCGTTTCACGGGTTGCATTTTTTCTCCTCGCACCATTTAGATCCATTCCGTACCTGGTAAAGAAATAAATGATTAGAAACAATCAAATTCGTTTCACCTACTTTGTTAAGAGTTCATTGATAATGAAAACAACATGAATCGTAATGTAATATGCATGGTTTTGTTTTATTACACGATTCAATTATGCGTAACTTCGAATTGAAAATTTATGATGACTAATACAATTACGAAAAGTGGAATTGTCTGCACAATGATGCAACTAAAGTATACTGTTAGCATTTAGAGATGGACACAACAAAGCGTAAAGTAAAGTGTGATTTGGGAGAGATTTCAGATAAAGTGAACCGTGGCCGCCCCTTTCCCCGGCTTTCCTCCTCCCGCTTATGCGATCGCCGGGCCAATGAAAACGGTAGCATAATAATTGAAATCGAGATAAACCATCCGTTGCCGCGCCGGCGTTAAGCCGTAGCTTATCTCAGACGCAGCTATACGCATTTGTTGGCGGACCACGCACCGTTATTCCAATTGTCCTATCTTTATTACGATGCAGCCCCCGTATCGCAATTGTATTAAACCAGATACGCGTTAGGGCGTTTGTATTATTGTAATTATTACTTCGCTTTTCAATTTAACAGATATAACAACGCCCTCCTGGTTCATTGTTTATAACACTACAGTGTAACTAGGTGACATCTATGAAGGCATTTTTTAAAATATAATCGAATATGAAACGAAAACGAGATGGATTATATATTACTATCGTATTTTTACTTTTGATTGTGCATTATAACCTTATAAAAATATTTAATATATAACTTGTAGTCACATTTGTTAGAAAAGTTTTATTAAATAAAGCAGTAAATTATATTTGCTGTAAAAATAAAGAGATGTTATTGAATGAAGTTAATAAAACGAGCACAACTGTTTTGTCGTTTCAAATTTTAAAAAGTTCTCAGTTCCACGCCGCGCCGCGAACACTGCCGAGAACATATGCCGCCAGTGCAAAACTGTTAGTAACTGCGAGGGTGGAAAATGGGGATGAGTAGTATAGGAAATTAATAAAACTGTCACTTAAATCGCAGAAGTGACGGCTCGATCCCCTTATCTCAGACAGAGTTATCCAATAATATATCTTAGTTGCAAGACAGCAGAGTACTTTTTACACTGACGCCTATATAGAATGAACTCGATCTCTATTGTTAAGTCCGTTGTTGACTTAATTCTTCTCGCCCTCAATTGAATAAGATTCTCGTAAATAAATATGAAATGAAATTCATTTTATTCCGAGAACGTTTGTTTGTGAACTCGCCTAATTATTTCGTATAACATTTATTTGCAATATCGTGCGGTATTAATTAAAGAATTTAAATAAATGTGTTGGATCTATGGTGCGACTTGTGTATGGAACGTTTAAATGCGACATAAATTTAATGACGTTCTCAAGCGAGTGAGCGCTATGAATGAACTAACATCCATAGAATTCAAGTGACAATACGAAAGTGGAGCGACGTCGGGCTTAGGCGTATTCCGCAAACAAAAAAAGCTTCATTTATCCACGGCGTGCCACTTTCACGGCATCCGAGCTCGCGGGGATGGCTGCGCGGCGCGCTTTTTTTTATTATTTTGCAAGCCCGGGCGCGCGCCCCCGGAGGCTGCGGCTACCCACCCCCGGCTGACACCCCCGCCTTCAATTAAATCCCTATCTCTCCCGCCACCTCATGCTTCCTACTTAAACTCATAAAAATGAGATAAACACAAAAATATTGCTCGTACCCAACAGTTTTTATTAAAGTTAACTATGCTGTTCCGCTTAATTGGGCCGGGATGTTGCGAATAATCATTTCGACAGGCCCTTGTAGTGGTTTAAAAGGATTTCGCTTCAGATTTTCGTTTATATTTTGTCGTTTGTTCTTGATATATGATACGTTATGTAATCTGCGTACATGTTTCGGTTACTTATTAACTCTATAGTCAAACGGTTATCTATAAATTGAAAAAAGTTATGTATTCTTACAAACATTATTTTTCAATCAACAATCCTGTTTGAGTTGTGATAGGATTTGTACGTCTTTACTTTCATAGTCCAATAACGGTATTTCAAATGTATTTACAAGGGCGTTAAATACGGCCGTTGGCAAAGGTAGGTGTTATAAAAACGTTCGTACTTAGCGGGCATGAATCGAGAGTCATAATAATGAAATAAAGGCAAAAGAATGAGCCGCAACGGTCAGGGCGTTTGTTGTTAATATCCCAGAACGAGCGGGACGATCCGTGCGCCGGCCTGAAAAATAAATCAAAAACCCCAAACGTGCCTCGTTTTATTTTTAATATCGCACGTTTTTTGTTTTCGATGATACTGCAAAAAGTCACTCGTTGTTCTGGTACTTTAAAAAAGAACGTGCAACAGTTACCGATAGCCGATTAAACGTAACATAATATTGCATCTAAAAAACTTTTAGACGTATTTTTAGGAGGTTTTCCGAAGTCTTTTTTAGTAACAATAAAAATTGATGTGTACTTGAATAGTTTACACGTTAAATTATTTTGGCATATGCAAACTTTATATTTCTACTGTTTAAACCTTTACGGCAATATCTTCTTCAGGTAAAACTTCCTTAGACTTAAATTGAGTTTTCATTCAGTGAACTATTTTGTAAACTCATTTGGATAACATATTTTTTACATAACAGAAGAAATGTTGTTATATTCATTGTTGTTTAAATTTGTTAAATTAATTGTTTTATTAAATTACCTAAAAGGTATTTAAAAACTTAATAAAAATAGTTAAGTAATGTTTAATTGTTTTATGAAACTATGTAAAATCTTTAACTAAAGTTAATGACTGCATTTTGTATCATCGATTCTTTTATCTAACTAATACGTTATAAAATATCAATATGATCTAGAAACAATATTGAAACATCAGCCTGCTTCAAGGAGATAAGCAGAGTCCCTAGGGCGAGTACAAAAGGGGCAGCGTTCATGCAAGTAACGTTTGCGAAACAATGTAATTAAATTAAACACCCTATATGCGTTACTCAACGATAGGTTTAGTCCTCCACTCTGTAAGTAATATGGTCACGTGCCGGCAGTGGGAAGATTAGGTTAGTTGTGTATTAAAATATACCCAATTAATTTATCAAAGAATGAAGAGATTTATATTGTAAAATGACATTCATATTTATTACTTGCTGAAATGCAAAATGTCAGGAAAAACCAGTTAAATTTTGGGTAGAATCTAAAGTGTAATACATAAAAAGTTTGAATGCTTACAAATTTTTATGAAGTGCAATTGCAAATGTTACCAACTTGAGTTTAATATTGACATTTAGATAAGTTCGTAACATTAGATTTTAAATAAACACACTCTGTATAGTAAAATAGTGTTTGAAACAATGTTAACCATTTAGCATAAACGGAACAGAAATGAACACGTTCATGAAACTGTATACCTTTAAGTACAAGTGCCGAACGTCGACACGTAGACAAGAGACAGCTAAACTGCCATCCACGTATTATGTTACTCTAACATTTTGAAATCACCAATGACATCGACGGCACCCATACAAGAATAGACGGCGAGTCTCTGTGAGGTAATAGGTGAACAACTTTTCTTCACACTTCATCAGTTTTATTAAACAGATGATCCTATGAAATAGAAAACGACACTTAATCTTCGGTGACAGTTTTGTGTAAAAATTATTCGAGGATTGTGTTCTATAATGTAAGTATCCCCTTTCCTATGAACTAAATAGTGGAATGTATTCAAAAGGTAAATTTAACATTAAAGGTATTAGGTTATAGCGTGAAGGAACTATAATTCGTCTACTAACAGTTGCTCAAATACTTCATACCACATTCAAACAATTTAGTTAATAAGTAAAATTTTTCGGTTTATAAAAATGTAGTTCGTTAACATAATGAAACATTGAAAAGCTTAACACATATAAAGGGGCTTGAATGGCATACAAACATCGCCTTTCATGCTACAAATAAATTACTGTGTTCGTAAAAAATGGTATCAGATTAAGCTAATTATTCGTGGTCGTAATATAGAAATGGGCGCACGCAAAGCCCAATCTCGGGTATGGGCGAAGTTTTAAAAGGTAGTATACAGTTGGTGAATATTGGTGGGTAGATACGGTGGCCGGGGGCGCGGCACGCCAAAAACACATTACGAGCCGCCAACGCGCTATTACAGGCAACCGCACGAGTCCGCGTTAGCCCTATACGATACCCGCTTGTACATGCTATCCAGCGACTAATTGCCCGGGCCCATGCATAAAAACCCCTGACAGGGACAACTGCGTCGAGGGAAGCCTACGTAATACCCTAAAACGTAAACGATCGGACGCGGACCTCTGTTATAATTGGGAGTGCGAGATATTTTTGATGAAGCATGTACATAAAAGTCGGAATCGTTAGGTAACGAGGTATAAAGGGCGTGTTATCTACGTGCTTGGGCGGCGCATGTCACGTGACAAACGAAGCGTAAACACCACCGCTGCCCTGTCAACGCCATCTTTGTTTTTGTTCAAGGGGTGGCTTAATAAAACTTTTTCTGTATCACATTATACACATCATTTGCTAGTAACACCTGCCACCAAAATTTCCAAGACATGCTAAACATATATTTCTAGCTTTATCCCTCGACTCCGTATGCGTGAAATAAAAAAAAAAACAAAAGTAAGTAGCCTAGCCTATCAAGGTCCGTTCAGCAATTTAGGCTACAAACTCTAACAAACAACAATCCATCCATGTAAATTTTTGCATTTATAACGTTAGTAAGATTTAAGCATTCACTGATTTAGGGTTATGACGTTTTATTGGCGTTTATAAGCATTTCAGGGATATAGGGTAAATTTTAAAACAAGAATGTAGGACAATCAATACCGAACGTTGCAATAGGTCGGGGAAAGTTCTGTTTGTAGTTGCAAGGACAGGATATGCATTAATAATTCGATATGTGAAAATAGCTTATGGGACATCTATACTAATTTTAGATTCTACTACAGCGGAAAGCTATTTCTATCTACAATTGCATTCTTCGCAG